TAGATGACCTGCAGCTTTTCCTACAGTGCGATAGGGCAGACGGTCTCTCCCTCTTTGACCTCACCACTGGTGCCTCTCCTGCCCGTGCTGCTGATGCTGACGCCACTCTTCGCTCACAGTGGGCCACACGCGATGCTGCTGCACGTCTTGCTGTGCGTCGCCACCTGCCTACCTCTGAGCGTGCGCACTTTAGTCAGTACAAGAGTGCTCAGACCTTGTACGACGCTGTAGTTGCACGCTACTCCTCCCCTGCCACTGTTGCACTGAGCCGCCTCATGCTACCGTACCTCTTCCTGACCTTGCTGCCTTTCCCACAGTCGCTGACCTCATTACGCACCTCCGCACTAGTGAGACTCGCTACCGCGCTGCGCTTCCTGCTGACTTCTGCGCCAAGAACCCCCCCCCCCCCATGTACATCACTCTCTACTACATAGTCATCCGCCTCCCTGACTCCCTTCGCGTAGTCAGGGACCACTTCCTCTCAGTTTGCCCCACCACCCTCACCGTTGACCTCCTCGAGAAGGCCCTCCTAGCAGCGGAGAAGAGCATAGTCGCTGTAGGAGCCTCTCGTGGTGACCCTCGCACCCCCATCTTTGAGGGGTGTTCCCCCTCCCCCCTTTTGCCCTCTGTTGCCTCTGCTGCTGCGGCCGACCTCGTTGGGCTTGAGTCGGTCGGTGCGGCGTCTACCCCTAGCGGGAGACGCCGCCCTGGCAAGGGGAAGGGGGGCAGGGGCGCTGGAGGAGCTAGCGGGGGCGGTGGAGGCGGCGGTGGAGGCGGCGGAGGGAGTGGGGGTGGCGGTGGGGGTGGTGGCGGGGGTGGAGGTGTCGGTGGCGGCAGTGAAGGCGGAGGAGGCGGCGGTGGCGGTGGGAGCGGAGGTGGTGGCGGAGGTGGCGGCGGTGGAGGAGGCGGTGGCGAAGGAGGTGGAGCTGGTCAGGGTGGCACTGCGCAGAGGGTCGGCTCCGGTGGAGGTCAGCGCCAGCAGCAGCAGCAGCGCACTTGTGACATCCCCTCCCCTCAGCAGCTCCGTGAGTGGTACACTGCACGCCAGCGGGGTGGGGGTGTCAGCAGGTGACCCACTGCACGGACGCTCGGACAGGCCGACACCTGGCCACGTTTACACGTCGGCCGAGGTCGAGCTTGTACACACTGACCACTGCGTCTCCTCCAGTCACTACGTCTGGTCAGGTAGCTGCGTCGGGTCAGGTGTTTGCTGCAGCGTCCAGGTCTGGTCCTGAGTCTGCCCCCTGCTTGTGTCGCCTCCTGTCTCACGAGACTCTCCTCTGGCACCACCGCCTTGGTCACCCCTCTCTACTTCGTCTCTGAGGCAAGGCCTCCCGTGTCCTTGTCTCTGGTCTTCCCCGGTCCCTCCCTCCCCTTCCTCCTGGGCCTGGCCCTACCTGCGTCCCCTGCGTCGAGGGGCGGCGGCGGGTTGCCCCTCACTCCTCCCAGTTTCCTCCGACAGAGGCCCCGCTGCAGACGCTTCACATGGACGTGTGGGGCCCGGCCCGCATCCGTGGACAGGGTCACGAGCGCTACTTCCTGCTGGTGGTTGACGACTACTCGCGTTACACCACAGTCTTCCCCTTGCGCAGCAAGGGTGATGTCACTGCGGCGTTGATCGACTCGATCCGCGCAGCTCGTCTCCAGCTCAGGCAGAGCTTCGGCTCGGACTTTCCTGTTCTGCGTCTGCACTCTGACAGAGGCGGAGAGTTCTCCTCTGGCCTTCTGCGAGCCTACTGTCGTGCACGAGGCATCCGCCAGACCTTCACGCTTCCGGACTCCCCACAGCAAAATGGGATTGCTGAGCGCCGCATTGGCATGGTCATGGATGTCGCTCGTACGTCCATGATGCATGCGGCTGCCCCCCATTTTCTGTGGCCGTTTGCGGTTCGGTACGTGGCGCATCAGATCAACCTTCACCCCACGGTCTCCATGCCGGAGACCTCCCCAGCTTTGCTGTGGACGGGGAAGGTTGGCGATGTGTCGGCGTTCCGTGTCTGGGGATCTCGGGCGTTTGTTCGCGACCTGTCTGCGGACAAGCTGTCCCCTTGTGCTGCTCCTTGCGTCTTCCTTGGCTTCCCCCCTGACGCGCCAGGGTGGCAGTTCTACCACCCCACCTCTCGCCGTGTTTTGTCCTCCAAGGACATCATGTTTGACGAGTCGGTCCCCTACTACCGCACTCCCTCCCTCCCCCCGCCGCCGCTCTTCCTTGTACCAGGTCCCCCCCCGGTAGACCCCCTCCCCCCTCAGGGTCCTGCCCCTTCAGGTTTGTCCCAGGTAGACGCAGTCGAGCCTGTCGAGGTTACTGGTGACTCTGGTGCTGCTGACGGTGCTGAGCCTGGGGGTGCTGACTCTGGGGGTGCTGAGCGTGTGGGTGCTGCGCGTGGGGGTGCTGAGCTTGCGGGTGCTCCTACTGGGGGTGCTGAGCCTGGGGGTGCTGCGAATGGGGGTGCTGAGCCCGGGGTTGCTGCGACTGGGGGTGCTGAGCCTGGGGGTGCTGAGCCTGGGGGTGCTACGCCTGGGGGTTCTGAGCCTGGGAGTGCTACGCCTGGAGGTGCGGAGCCTGAGGGAGTTGCGCCTACTCGTGTGGCGTCTGGCGGTGCTGGGCCTGGAGGTTCTTCGGGTGCTTCGTCTCGCCGGGAGCCCCTCTCTCCACAGGAGCTGCGTAAGTGGTTTGCCCGGCGCTGGAGGCGTGCTGCTGGAGCTGGAGGTTCTCCAGCTGCTGAGGGTACTGGTGTCGCGGGTCCCGGAGGTGCTCGTGCTGGGAGTACTGGAGCTGCTGGCCCTGCGGGTGCGACTGGAGCTGGTGCTGCTGAGGGTGTTTGCGCTGAGGCTGCTGCTGTCGGTCCTGGAGGCGGACCTGCTGGGGGTACTACTGGTGCTGCTGGAGGTACTGGAGCTGGAGGTGCTCCTGGCGCTGGTGCTGCCGCTGGGGGTACTGGTGCTGTCTCTGCTGTGCCTGGAGTCGCCGCCCGGCCTCGGCCGTACTTCGTTCCGCTCCTTCAGCAGGTTCCTAGTCTCCCGCCTTCTACTGGTCCTTCTCCTCAACTGGCCTTTCCTAGTCCAACTGAACCAATATCCAAACCAACTTCCCATACTCATCCTCAAGTCCCACCATAAGACACATGACTCTTCATGATTTTCCATGTGCTTTCCTTTCCTACTCATCAAATTTTACCCAAGTCATCCACTTCCTCCAATTATCCTCCTCCCATGTGCCTTCAAGCACATGCTTCCATTTCCTAGTCATCAAACTCCACATGTCTCTCATTTATTCCTTCCTTCCTTTCCCAAGTCACCAAAGTTGCCACCTCATCCCTAAGGACCTCGTGATTACCCCCTCACCTCCTCTTCCAAGACACCAAAGCTATCCTGTCTCCTCCACTCATTCCTTTCCAAGTCACCCAAGTTCTCATCCAACACTACAAGGCTACAAACTCCAATTCATTAAGTGCCAACCACCACCACATGCTCCAAACTATTCATCTCCAACAAGCATCTCCACAACTTTTCAAGAAAGTTCTTCAATGACAACAAGGCTTCTCAAACTTCTTCTTCAAGCTTCTCTCCAAGTCTCCTTCGAGCTCCTCTTCTACTACAAAGGCTCCTCACTAGCAACCAAATTCTATGTCTCCAAAGTTGATACTCTTATGCAACTCTCTTCCAAGGCTACCATTGTTGGTTACTCTTTCTATGCATGCCTATGTATCCCTCATGGATTTGTAAGGCTTGTACTATACCTCTTTCAATATAAGTTTATGCTCACAAAGTCTCTCTCATTAGTTTACAAAGCTAAACATCAAATGAAGAATAGTCACTTCATACTCTACTTGAGTATAAGGTTCATTACTACCTATAAGCTTGAGGAAGGCTCATCACCCAACACCAAGCTTAATGTTCCTCTTCAAGTAAAGCTCCGAAGACCAAGCCATTCCTTCAAGTCACCTCTACAGCTATCCCTAGTACCGTATCACCCCGGATATAAGCGCAGGCCTATGTTAAGCGCATGCGCTTATATCTGGAGCAATGCGCTTATGGCCGATCCTAAATTATAAACGCACCCCTTATAAAACCCTGATTTATTATAAGCGCATGTATAAACATGTAACAAAAATGGATTAAAACGGTAACGACTTCCCGTTTTGAAGCGAGTCCACATCGACTTCTACTCTGTTTGACTCCCTCGAGGGCGGGCTCGCTCAGGAAAAGCGCAACGGCGCGAAGTTGACCTGACAAGGGGGCTCGGGAACACCTGATGTTGTCTGTGCGCTGCGAGCGAGCGACTTCAGTTTATTGGTCGTACACTGGGGCAAGCCTGTGCGATGCGAACGAGCGACTGCAAGCTATTGGTTCGTACACTCTGCTGGGGCGAGCATGACACGTTCCTATGCGAAAGTGACGTGTCCTTGCCTTTGTGCGCCGGCAGAGAATCGCCATCGCGCGATTCTGATTCAGAACGCTCCACCTATTTCGATTTGAATGAAATTGCAAGACTATAATGCACAATTTGGTGCGTTTATAACATATTTCTGTGTTTGTTATTATATAAGCGCATGCGCTTATAATTTTAACTCATTTATAAGCGCACCCCCGTAAAAAAACACTGTTTTATTATAAGCGCAGATGCGCTTATATCTGGGGTATTACGGTAAGATTCACTGTGTTTATCACCTCTCTTATTCTCTCAACAAGCTCACACTCTCCTTCTCTTTTGAGTTCTTATCTCATCAAACATTCCATCTCACACAAGTTTCTCTTTATAGTCACAAGTTCTAAGCATCATCTTATCTTCTATCACTTAGCTCATTGTAATCTTGCCTAGTGCAATCGATTGCTCATAAGATAAATCAATCACTCGCCATCCATCCATGTTTCTCACGCGAGTGGGTTCTGTGCCACTATCCACGTGTTTCCCATCCATCATTCCCACCATCGATTTTAGCTCCTCCAGTCTTCCACACATACTCGCCTGCACGTGTCACCATCCCGCACGCCCTACCATGGTTGCACCCGCCAATGCGGCGCATGTCCCCGTGCTGCATGGTGGCATTACTACGCCGCGCCGTCATTCGCGCATCGTCCCGCCACGCACGTCGTCCGCTCCGTCGCTCTGCCTTACTACTGCCGCCGTCTCGCGCTACTGCCCTACGCTCGGCGTCACGCCCGCCTCTCTCAGCGCCCTTCGCAGCCCAGCGAGGCGCCTTGCCGCCCGTGGGGGCGCGCGTGGCGGCGTGCAGTGCAGCGCGGACGTGCCCGACTACCTGCCCGCCTCCTGGTGCGCACTGCGCGTTCCCGCCGTGCAGCAGCCGCACCACCTCCGCGCTCTTTATAACCCCGCCTTGTTCCCGCTACCAAGCAGTGGTCCGCTCATTTGGGTCCGCCCATGCGGGTCCGCGGAACAACCCCATCCATGGGGTCAGCACCCCGTTCCCCCCCTCCCCCTCTCGCTCATCCCTCTCGCACTGCTTCGCTTCTCCCTCTCTCCTCACGCCCAGCCGCGCCCAAGCTCCTCCTTTCTCCGCCACCAGTCTCCCCCGAGCCCGCCCTTGACCTGCCCTTCCCCCCTCCCGCTCCCCTGTCCCCCACTTTGGCTGCTCCCGCGGCGAGTGCGTGCGTGGAGAGCAGGGCACGTGGCACGGACCGCAAGCCTCTGGGGCCCAGGCTAGAGGTACTAGGGCTGTGTGGGAAGCGTGCTGGGGAGGTGGGGTGTGATGCGGTTGTTTTACTATTAGTAGCATGGTGCATTGATGCGTGCTGTAGCATGTTGCATGCACTCGGCAAGGAGGACCTACGTCCTACGTACACCCTCTGAGGTGCAGTTCCGTGCCCCCCTGTCCCCTCCCTTCCCTCCCCTGTGTCCCCCGCCCCCCGGCAGTGGAGTGCGGAGGAGGCGGTGCGGCAGCAGCTGTGTGCGCTGCAGAGCAACGACGACCCGTACCCCGACCACGGCGTGGAGGTCATGTACCGCGTGCGTCAACCCATGCGCCTCTGCTGCCATGCTGCCATGCTGCTGCTGCTGTCCGCATGCCTTGCAGCATGTTGTGCGAACGTGCATGCCCATCAGTGTGTCGCCGTACGTGCTGCCTCCTGCTTCACTCATTCATCTCGCTATCATGACTTCATATTAACGAGCTCTAAGTTTCTTCCACCTGCATCTTCTCTCTTCTCCTTCCCCCCACCCTTCCTCCCCATCCCTTCCGTTCAGTTTGCAGGGTTCGACCCATTTGAGCGATCGCGGTACTTTGGCCCGCGCTTTGACCTGGGCCAGGTGACGCCACGCACCCACATGGCGCCGTGCTGCATGAACTGCCTGCCCTAGTTTGTTGCGCCCTGCGCCAGTCTGCCTCCATCCTCCCATTGCTGCACACCACCCATGATACACCACTCCACTCCATGCCTCTCTGCCTGGCCCCCCAACCATGTCGCAACACTCCCCGCAACCTAACTTGGACTTAGCTAGCATCAACTTACAGATTCCCTTTTTTCTTCTTCTTTTCCTGTTGACCCCCCCGACACTGTGCAACGCCAGTTAACGTTCATTAGCTTCGGTTGACGTTGTTCCAACTTAGCCCACACCCCCTCACACTTCTCCCTCTCTTTCATTCACTGGTTTTCATGCGTGCTCTGTTCACAAAGAATAATTGTATCTCTTAAAGCTGAGTAAAATAAAAAGGTTAATCCATGAAGCACAAGTAATCCATTCATTGTTGCCCACCACTGTTACCCCCCCACGCCCTACCCGTCCCTCCTGGCCCGCATGGCAGTTTGAGAGGTTCCGGCGGCTCTTCCACCACACGCACTACCGTGTGCTGCTCTCCCACAAGCGCCACCGCCTCCTCTCCTCCTTCTACGTCTCCCCAGTACCCACCCCCCCTTCCCCTCCTCATCATCTCTCCATTTGCCCTTCGTCGAGCTTCTCTGACCTGCCATTTTTCCGTCTGCATTCTGCTTTTGAAAATTGGAAAAAGCACAAGTTTTTTCTTACTCCTTCCACCGTTTTTCAGCCCTTGATCCTCTGTGGCCCTTCCCCTCCCTCCCCTTCCCGCCCATAACCGTGTGCGGCATGCACGTGGGTTGTGCAGGCGCGCGTGAAACAGAGGGTGGAGGTGGAGGGCGTGCGGCCAGGCGAGGTGGAGGTATTTGAGTTCACGCTGGAGCAGGTGGGGCACAGGGTGGGCACACCAGTGCACACAACACATGGGGGTTCGTGTGTGCAGGGGGGAGCAGGCGGGGGGGACAGGGTTGCTGGCTCGTTTGTGTGATGGCATTGGTTGTTGGCGGTTGAGCCCCTCTTGTGGGGTAGAATCGTGGTATTGCTTCCGCGCTGCCTTGCACACCCACATGTGTGCTCACAGTTGTGCTGGGGGGATGTCCGGGAGAGGCATAGCAATACAGGTGCATGTGATGTGCCAGTCCTTCAAATTGTCTCACCAGAGGTACATGTTTCCCTCATTATGCATGCACACATTTTGTTCCCTCTTCCCCCCTACCCTCCACTCCCCACCTGTGACTTCACCGTAGCCTCCCCTGCTCTCCATGCCCGCCCCTGCTGCCATGTATGGTGGTGGCAGAGGAAGGGCGGCAGTTGGGACGGGTACTGGTTCACGGAGAGCTTGATACACGACGGCGAGGGGCTTACTGGGGGCGTCGCGTACTAGCCATGCACTCAGCATGGCACTCTGGCGGCATGCTCCTCTGCAGCACTAGCTGAGCCATTTTATTAACCCATGTGGGCAGCATCTGTCTCGCAGTCTTGTTGTAATGCATTGATTTCTGCAAGACAGATGTCTATAAGGTCTCCTATCGGCCCACGTTGCGAGCCACGATGCTAAGAGGGTAAGCGAGGTCAGATTGAGTGCAGGTCATCAAGTACATGAGGCAGCCCACAAGCTCTGGATACGAGCCACTCGGCTCTACGGGCTCATCCGAAGGCAGAGCTAAGAGCGAGTGGCCGGTACGCAGAGGAGTGGACTGTGGCGAAGAGTACTAGAAGTCGAAGCGCTGAACGACTTGCTGCACCATGCGTGACTCAGTCAAGGTAATGGTGCGAAGTGATCTGTCTCGGGTGATCTGCAAGCCAAAATAGCTGCGTACACAAGGATGTAGAACGGCGGCAGCGAAGTCTCGGTGCGTAAAAACAGCGACGGGTCAGCAGTAGAAGGAGCAAACCCAAGAACCGCAAGAGTCGCCCTCAGTGTGTCGTGCCACTCGCGAGGCGCCTGGCGGAGACCGTAGACTGGCCGCAGGAGGCTCCACTGGATACCAAAAAGAAACGACCCAGTGAAGCCAGGTGGGCGGCGCAGCCAGATCTCCTCGTGCAGGCTGCCCTGTAAGAAGGCAGTGATGAAGTCAAGAGAGAGAAGCTCGTAGTCACCCTGAGCGGCGACGTGCAGTAGTACCCGAAGAGTGGTCATCTTTGGGGTAGGGGAGAAGGTCTGGAAGTAGTCAACTCCCTGTCGCTGACTGAAGCCTCGCGCAACGTAACGCGCCTTAAAGGCAGGCGGAGAACCCGGCGACCGCTTCACCCTGAAAATCCGCATGCCACTGACGATGTTCGCCCCATGAAGGGGAACCTCGTCGACGTAAGTGCCTGTGGACTTTCAGGATGCAATTTCTGCGTCCATGGCTGATTGCCACTGAGACGAGTAGGGACCCTCTATCGCCTGTGCGTAAGAGCGCGTGGTCGGGATGTCTGGTGCATCCGGGTCTTTCGCAAGTGCAATCAGCATTGACACGAGATGCGGTACAGCAGCTGCAAAATACTCAAAATATTCTTGCCTGTTCTTAAAGACGTCCGTGCTAAGAGCACTCTCACTCCCGACAGATGGAGGACAGACAGACTCAGACTCAGCAACAAAGCTAGCGGCGTAGTCTAGACGACAGGCGGTAGCAAAGTCAACCAGCTCAGCAACAAAAGGAGACGCAGTAGTAGACTCAAAAGAAGGGTTAGTGACAATAGTGGCCAGGAGACACGTGAAAGTAGGACTAACAGCACGAAGGGAGTCAGACTCCGGGTCCAAACCGTCAGGAAAGGAGGACGCAGGAGGAGACGGCAGAAGGACACGCAGTGGAACAGAGGAAGGACGAAGTGCCATCTGGTGCGTGCCTAGGACAGGAGGAGGACGCTAACGTAGAACACGACGACCAATGCGAACAGCGCGAACAGGCGACGTAGGACGAGACTCAGGCTCACGACGCTCTGCAAGACCTCCGGTCGGCCCAGTGTACGGAGAAGGACTAGGCAGTGGGGAGGCTGGTTGTAACTGTGACTTCGACTGCTTAAGCGGTGGACACAGTAAGGGAGGAGTAGGACCACTAGAAGGCGGGAGACCAAGAATCTGCTGAAAGAGTGGAACGAAGTACGGCCGCGGCCGCGCAGCGCTTCCAGAACCAATAGAGACAGCACCAGTACCCCCAGCTCCAGGGTCTCCAGCTCCAACTCCTGTAGGACCACCAGCTCCAGCACCCCGAGAAGCTCCAACTCCAGCAGCACCTTCAGTAGTAACAGCTCCAGTGCCGCCACCTCCAACTCCTGTAGCACCACCAATTCCACCAGCTCTTGTACCTCCAGTACGAGCACCAGCAGTACCTCCGGTTCCAGCAGCACCTCTAGCTCTAGTAGCTCCGGTACCTCCAGTACAAGCACCCCCGGGACCAGCGGCTCCAGCACCTCCAGCAGCTCCAGCACAAGTAGTACCTCCAGCTCCAGCAGCACGGCTCCAGCACCGTGCAAAGCAGTCGCGCAGCTGCGGCGGAGAGAGCGGCTCCCGCCGTGACAAGACACCCGTAGGATCTCTAGAGGACAAAGTACCTCCTGGCTCAGCACGCTTAGGCTCAGCACCTTTAGGCTCCGCACGCTCAGGCTCAGGACCCCCAGGCTCCGCACCCTCAGACTCAGCAACCCAAGGCTCAGCATCCCCAGGCTCCGCACCCTCAGACTCAGCAATTCAGACTCAGCACCCCAAGGCTCCGCACGCTCAGGCTCAGCACCCCCAGGCCCCGCACCCGCAAGCTCAGCACCCTTAGCAATACCATAGTCGACAGCTACCTCGATAGGCCCGACAGGGTCTACCGGGGACACCCCTGAGGGGGCAGGACCCTGAGTGGGGAGGGGGTCTACCGGAGGAGGACCTGGTGCTAGGAAGAGCAGCGGGAGAGGAGAGGGGCAGTGCGATAGGGAAAGAGACGGTAGTAAGGAACCGATTCATCAAACGTGCGTCCTGAGAGGACAGAAGACGAGGCGGGGTGGTAAAACTGCCAACCAGGCGCGTCAAGGGGGAGGCCAAGGAAGACGCAGGGAACAGCACGGGAGGACAGCTTGTCCGTGGAAGAATCTCAGACAAAACCTCGAGATCCCCAGACACGGAACACAGACGCATCGCCAACCTTCCCCGTCCACCGCAGAGCAGGTGTGGTCTCCGGCATGGAGACACGGGGCTGGAAGTTGAACTGATGCACAGCGTACAGGACCGCGAACGGCCACAGAAAATGGGGAGCAACCGCATAGATCATGGAGGTACGAGCGACATCCATGACCATACCAATGCGGCGCTCAGCAATCCCATTTTCCCGTGGGGAGGCCAAAAGAGTGAACGTCTGGCGGATGCCCTCCGCACGACGGAAGGCCCGAAGAAGGTTGGAGGAAAATTCTCCACTTCTTTCGGAGTGAAGACGCAGAACAAAAAGGTCCTAGCCGAAATTCTCGCTGAGTTGGCGACGGGCAGCGCGGATCCAGGTGATCAGCACCTCTGTGACCTCACCCTTGCGGCGCAAGGGGAAGACTGTGGAATAACGCGAGTAGTCGACAACGACCAGCAGAAAATAACGCTCGTGACCCTGTCCACGGACGTGGGCTGTGCCCCACACGTCCATCTGGAGAGTCTGCAGGGGAGCCTCCATCGGAGGGAACTCTGAGGAGTGAGGAGCGGCGTGCTGCCGTCCCTCGACGCAAGGAACAAAGGTAGGGGCAGGCCCAAGGGTGAGGGGAGGGAGAGACTGGGGGAGACCAATGACAAGGAGACGGGAGGCCATACCTCGGAGACGAGGCAGGGAGGGGTGACCAAGGCGGTGGTGCCAAAGGAGAGTCTGGTATGACAGGAGACGACACGAGCAGGGGGCAGACTCCGGACGAGACCTGGACGTGGTAGCAAACACCTTAACAGACGCGGCTACTTGACCAGACTCAGCAACCGGAGGATACTCAGTAGTCAGTGTGTACAGGCTCGACCCAGGCCGACGGGTGAACGTGGCCAGGTGGCGGCCCGTCCGAGTACACGTACAGTGGGTCACCCGCTGACCTCTAGGAGTGAACTAGTCAACCCACACGTCCTAAAGGTCAGCTCCACTCACCAAGTTCGTAGAGAACGAGGGGAGGTGAAGACCCGACAGTGAGCCAGACGGGACCGCCGGACACGGCAGAATCGTAAAGGAGTGCGCAAGGACTGGGCCCTAGAGGGGTCTGCCAGGGAGATTGCAACTGGCCGACTGAGTGGCGTGAGTGTGGTGCTGTCGCGAAAGAAGGGGCGGGAAGCACCTGAGTTAAGCGTAAAGGTGTGCAAGGCCTCAGCAGGCACAGTACCTAAGAGAGCAGACTCACTAGTACCTAGAGCAGCAGCCTCTATACCTGGGTCGGGCGGCACACACGGGTAACAGTCACTCTCAGCACTAATAGTCACAGCATATATGGCAGCAAGGATAGCATCGTAATCAAGATGAAAGATAGTAACACCAGACTTCAGCAGATCAGCCTAGCGAGGGAGCTTAGTGGCGTCAGGAAACTATGCACGCGAGGCGTCAGACAGGTGTTCGAAACAATACTGCGTCACGTGTGGTAGCCCGCACGTCTCCCTACGGCGCTCGCCGGTGCGGAGAACGTAAGCGCAGGGACCAGCACCCCCAGACCTCCCACGCCCAGCGTACCACTCACGAAGCTGCTGGGGCAACGGGGCCTCACGAGAACGCGACTGCTGCTGGCGCTGGCCACCGCCAAAGCCTCCACGCTGTATGGCTCCATCCCGACCAGCACCACCGCCGCCGCCACCCCCACCGCCGCTGCCGCTGCCGCCCCCACCTCCGCCGCCACCACCGACGCCCCCACTCCCGCCACCACCCCCACCTCCATCCCCACCCCCTCCACCTCCTCCACCGCCACCACCGCCACCCCTGCCGTCCACTCCACCACCCTTGCCCTCCTTGCCCTTGCCGCTGTGGCGCCTCCCACTAGGAGCAGACGCAGCCCCGACCTCCTCAGTGCCAACGAGGT